TTACCGACATTACCCATGAAGATAGATTAATTCAGCCTTTCACGAAAATTCTCTCTCGTCTCCTTTTGGGGCGTAGCGCCGCTCTATTTAGGTTTATTGCTCGTGGACGATCAGAGGTTAATGACACGGGTAATTTCTAAGGTTTATTTTTTCGATATGGCTTGATATTTTGAGTAAATACTACTAACTCTTGGAGCCACATTAGCGAGTAAGCTCATAAATTACGTGTTGAAACTCGATATGACTTAGGCTGGGTTGCACCATCTTACTTTAACTTTGACAAACTTCAAAAATCTGTCAAACTCCATACAAAATACACCGGTTATCGTCATAGTTACGGTCATATTTAGGTGGTGCAACTCAGCCTTAGTGTAGCCGAAAAACAGTTAAAAAGATACTGTCAACCTTGTCATAACCCTTAGCCTATCCGTTGGTGTCGTTGCCCATAAAACACAATAGATCCAGTTTCACGTCCGCGGAGTTAGGTAACTTATAGTTATAATACACCACGTTGTCTTTGTAGCGTTGTATCGGGAGCGGTCGTTATTGACATTACATAAACCACCCATGGGTTCAGATCCAGTGCAGTGCAATAAAATCACGATTCACGGCCTCACGCCCCCTGCTTTGAGTTCTCCCGCATTTTGTTCATTGTGTTTGTATACGAAAACGGCGTAGTGTTGTATGATTAAGAATGTTATTCTTTATAATACTGTATAAAAGAGTAAGCTCCATAATTGTGAAGTTTTTGGTCGGTAAGAATTAACCGTGTTGATTAACGAAACCATTTTACGCAAAAAATAACGTAATGACGACAATGAAAAATCTCAGGACATACCTAGTACATAAAAAATATATATTTTATATTTTAGTATAAAAATTCTACAAAGCGCCTTGAACCCATTAACTTTGAATAGTTGCCTCCACGAGTTTTCCCCAGAAGTCCACGCAATCGTAGCCCTACTGCCTCCCTTCCGCGAACAGTTATGGGTAATAATTCTCTGCGCTCAAGGACAAAGATATGGGCTCCTCAATAGGTGTAGTGATTTCAGAGATATACACCAGTATGCTATGGTCAAAACACTAATATACGTCTAAATATTCTTTGCTCTTTTGGCACTTTATATTATTTATTTGTTTCTAATATGCTAATTATGGAGCCGCTAGTCCACAAAAGTGACTTGTAAAATACCATTAATTCTTGGACGTCTTTTACGAAGGCCAAATATAGGAGATTTAAGACTGAGCTGGACTGGCTCGGAGCTGCATCAATTAGTTCCATAACGGAAATTTGGCGCGCTGACAATGTTTAAGCTGAATCGTAATGTTTCTCATTACACGAGACCTAATTTGTTAGTTTATGGGCTTGCTATAGAAATAAATACTTTAACTTTAACTCAAGAAGGAGCTTTAAAGAGAGATACTTTAACATTGATTCAAGAAGGAGCTTTCTAGAGAGATAGATCGAATAGTTTTAAGAATTCCTCTAGTCGACTCACGATGTTATAAATATAAACAGGTAACTTTAACATTAACTCTACTAAAGTATAAATAAAATTAACTGCTTATCTCAGTATAGAAATACAGAAAATAATGCTAATTTACTAACTATACCTATGCGCTGCAATGAAGTGAAAACAAAGATATTACCTATTTGTGGATAGTGTCAACAATACCGCGTAAACATTTTAGTCAGTAAACATGTTGTGATTCTTCATTATCCCCATTAATTATGAACGTTGTGTAACAGGTGATTAGTTACGCGGCGTTTTGTTTCCTTCCGTCGCATGTCAAATTGCTTGTGACAAAATGAAAGCAAGATGGAGCTTAACTGTGTTCATGAGCAAGAATTCCACCTTCATTTATTACTATGTGTAGTACTTATTAGGTACCTTTTTAACGTAAATAGGCACTAAAACCGTAGTAAACAAAATCTCATTTTCTTTGCTTAAGTTTCTGGAAGGTAAAGGGGAAGACCGGTCGTTTAGTATGTTACCCTTCGCATTCCGGAAGCGATCCGGAACCCACAAACTTTAATGGCGGCAAGGTGGCAATAATCCTGAACTTGTCAGCCAATCCGGGGAAATGACTGGAGTGCTTCAAAAAGATTAGCCCGGTAAAGTTATAGTGAAACTTCTTTAAAAGATTGACCTCTCCTGAAAATATCCATTTATTTACAATACCCCGGTGTTTATCTAATCCAAATTCGTTGCAAACCAGAGTAATAAAATCATTCCAGTAGACGTTTCGACTGACAAACTTTTAACTTAAACCTTACTGTGTTTGTCGTGCTTTGCGAATAAAACGATAACAAACGTGGTGTTGGTCCACACACAAAATACCAGTACATATATTTAAATACTTCTAAAAGCTAAATTAAATTATCTCTATGACATAGTAATGCTGTAATTCTTTGGAGCGGTATTACAAAATCTGTATCTTTGTGTTACACTCTCGATCGCGCGATATAAGCTCGGGGGAGAAACCGCAGCTTAAAACTCTGTGTAGCTGTTTTTGACAAACAAGTCTTTTATCTTCATCCTTTAAAACAATGCGTGTAACATATTGATTGCTTTGTATCTGTAATTGTGAAACCAAATAAAGCTCTTTGTTTCTCGTTGGAATAAAATCTAAACAGATTTTCAATGTTGTTATTTATTTGTGATTTTTCCAATTACTTAGATTATTATGAGAGGCACGTTGTTACAGTAGTATTTTCATTGAGAGCCAAAGTATTTCGAGCGGAGCCGACAAAAACTAGAATAGCTAAGAGACAACGCCGAACTATGGATCAAAACCGGCAGTCAAACCCTTATTCTCATAAGTTTTAAGTTTCATCTTTCATACTAATTACTTATTCCCGACTAATTTTGTTTACATTGTTTCTCGAACAGCTTACGTTATTACGAGAATCAACAACATAATGAATGTTTAAAGATTCATTGTGAATGTTACAAAGATTTAACAGAAAATGCTCTCCCAATTCTCCAACCTGACCTGAGGTCTGCAACAAACTAATTTACTTCAGCTCTAAGTTGTGAGTTGAAAACAAACTAATTTATTTAACTGTGATTGAACACATTAAGGCACCGAGTTTGGTTTCAAGATTCCGCTCACTTACTATGAGAGAGGTGCTAACTCAAAAGTACTTTGCCAAGTTTCTCGAACTAGAACAAATGAGGATGTACTGCACATTCCCTGTTTATTACCTGTGGCAACATTGTTTAGTACATAAGCAAGGATGTATTCAACAATGTACAAGCCTACGTGGACTGACTATCCACGCTGGAGTGGCAGTAATGTGAAACATTGTGGGAAATACATTGTGACACAGTACTCTTAGATTGTATTTCACTCTACATTACCTACTTTCTTACATAACAAACAAATGGCATGAGCAATGAATTTTCTTTAGTTAAGTATTTGTGACTAATTAAATTATTTTCCAGTTATTATTATGTAAAAAAAAAGTTTAAGCATTTGCTACGAATGACGTAAAATCTTGTAGCACAAGTATTTAAATATCATACTTTAGTTTTGATCAATTAGAGCCCCAATATTTCAAAGCAAGCGTCTAAATATTTAGGCTAGAAGGATTTAAAGAATTACAAAACCAGAGAGACCCAATTAAGTAATTTTATTTAGGAAATTTTATTGGCGCGGTTTACATCTTTTTAACCTTTATATCAGGTAAGTGAATTTTAATAAAGGTCAGGTAAGAAGGTCTGATTCATCATTATTTTTTCATCTTGAGTAAAGCCCGAGTAAATTATTTTGCGAGCTCTTAAATATTTTCTGTTCACATTTCTAACTATGAACTCTATCTAATACCTAAGTAGGTATTTAAAGGCAGTCAATATCATAAAGTGCCATTCTATTTGTTACAATCCGTTTCTGAGACACTGTCGGAATGTGCGCAAGTTTATTAATAAGTAGGCCCCGAGATATGTCTACGCAGACCGCGTTGTTACAATGGCCAGTATGTCACACTACGTATTTTTCTTGAAAAACAGCACCTATTACAACTCCATAAGACGCCAGTGTTCAGCTTGATGTGCCGCTGTACAAATCTATTTCTCCAACCCTTTTCAAGTCCCAAAAGAAAATTCAATTTGATATCGGCTTCTTTTATGCTCGCACAGAGATATTTGAATATATTTATTTATAAAGATACGTTATTGTTATGTAAATACATCGATGGCAGTAACGAAATAGCCAGAGACAAAGGTCTAACAGTATAAAATTATAAAAGAAACAATTTGGCCTACTACGTCGATAATAAACGCAAATAAACATTATAAAGTTCGCGTGATATTATTATTATTTATACGATTCCCAAGTCAGCCGAAAAAATATTTTTATAAGGTCCGAGGCAATATGTTTGATTGGATTCACCCCGGGGTGGGAAATTGATTTATTTCCCAATTGGAATTGTTGTCCCATTCTTCATTAACGCCTTCGCCCCGGCGGGGAAGGGTCAATATCACTACAATTGATATTTTAATGTAGAGCACAAGTACGTACTCTACATTAAAATATCAATCAAATAAAAATATCAAGTATGTCCCATAAAATATTCTTGCGAGCCTGCACTCTTCTTAACTGTTTGAAAACTGTAGCAATAACCCACCGAATTATACTTTCAACGGCGCCCAAAGCTCTCGTAATAAATTATGGCCATTAGCATACTTATCCACTCTTAAAAGAAATAGTACCCTAGCTTAAAATTTATTTCATCATTTCTACATACGCGATTAAAATATTCCGTTCAAAATTGCGCGACAATTAGTTATAAGAACTAAAAGTTTAAAAAAATCCACGGTGCTCTACATAAGCGTCGAGCCTACCCGAAGACGTTGAGTCGCAAAGCACGAAAAAACAGTCGCCCAGTCATAAACAAACATTCGCAAACCGCCGAAAACAACGCGACGTAAGTAAACACCGAGTTAAGTAAAATTGTTTAGACGGTAATGTGAATAATGTAAATAAAAATTACGTACCTCAAGATGCGTCTCGAGCCGGGTCGCCGTCTTTGTTTTTTCATTTTCACTGAGTTTGGTACTTAGAGGTCCGCGTAAAGTTTCAGCGCGAACATGGCAACGCGAGTGAGCCGCGGCGAGAGACGGGCGCGCGCGGTGCGCTCTCGGCTACGAGTGCGGAGTGGCGGAGCGGACTGCGGAGAGGCGGAGAGGCGGAGCGCGAGCAGCCCCCACCCGCCCCGCCGCGTGCAACCCCAACTTTCCTCTGCCCCCAGCTTAAGCATTACCCCGCCGGACACCGGGCTTTCTAAAAAAGTGAACGTGATATTGTTCGCAGTTTAAATACGAACTTTTTCATTGTACAAAGTCTTCGGTTCAAAAAACAGGAAAATAGGCTTGTCTCGGTTGCGGAAGGCGGTATAGAACAAACGGCGTCCGACGGAAAACAACCGATACAGCGAATAACGGTGTTTAGCAACTTTTTTTTTTCATGAAAATCTCAGATTTTTGACGCACTGTAAAAACTTAATTTAATATTTCACAAACATAATTTTAAAGCTCCAGCAATGAAGGACATTTAAAACTTATCCTTTATATTTCAATGCTATCATTATATTGTATGTGTCTGTTTACACAATACACCGTACAATTATACATATATTATTATTAAATAGTAGGTCATGAGTGAAATGCTAGCTAACGTGGTTTCAGAGCTCCCGCTTCTTTGTAATTTCTTCAGACTTTTCACCAATATTACTTAAGATCAAATCAGCTTTATCTTGAAATTCTTAGAGCTCCTCACACCATTTCTACATTGAAATTCCTCATTGATATTTATTGTTGTTTTTAACAAATACTAATACAGTGATTGCTTTGACGATTAAAAATATAATAAGGATTTCTTTTTAGTTAAAATTAGAATAATAATGATTTAGTTACCTTTATTTTCATGGACAGACGTCTGTCCTTTTAATTTGAACAACTGAAACGCATCGATTACGTCAAATGTTTCGTTTTCTTTTCAATACCTACTACCTATTTTCTGTCCTACGTATTACGGTTTCCACGGCGTGTGCGAATCTTTATTTCCAAGGACAAATGCTCGTTTAACTCGTGGAGAAAACGGTTATCCTAACCGTAAGTGGCCAGTATTAAGATGCCTATCAACTACAGGTTCTTTCGACGACCATTCATCTCCATACTCTCACAGCATCTAAATTAAGTTGGCGACCATCGTTTTGTAATATGAAACTGCAAGCTTAACCCTTTCTGAAATTAGAATGACCGTTATTTTATTTTGCATTTCGAGTTAAGTACATACTAAAAAAGAGATGGGTAGGTAACTCAGCAAAAATAACTTGATTTTTGTATCAATTTAGTTCAGCTATCATGTAGAGTCAACTCAGAATTGCGTCATGGCGCAACCAAATTAAAAATTGCTTATGAATTTAACTTATTTCCAGATCCTGATATTCATATCTCCTGTTCGAGTTCTTCAAGTCTTCCTCTGTATGCCAACTCAATTTGAAAAATTTAATCAACGCGCATACGAAGAGCGACTTGGCGTAATCCGCAGCAAAATGCAGTCTCTACTAGGGTTGCCAGGTGTCCGGCTTTAACCGGACATTTTTGGCTTTTTACGGTCTTGTCCGGCCAAATATTGTCTTGTCCGGCCTGTCCGGCTTTTGTTAGGCTTTTTATTTGGCTACCGCGCCAAGCGATAGAAAAATATCAAGCATCAAGTTAGGCAACTGATGATGATAGTACTTCGTGAGCTATGACACTAATTGNATGTCCGGTTTTTAAGGTAAAATGTCCGGCCAAATTAAGCACAGAGTCCGGCTTTTGTGTTTTTGGACCTGGCAACCCTAGTCTCTACCAAAGATCTACGAAACGCTCAGTACACGGAATCTGTGCTAATTGGTTATCAAAAGTAGCATACAACAATCCGAATCATCGAAAACTCCGAAGTTCCTAACCTTATTAGCTTCCGACAAACAATGTCTAATCTTGCGAACTGAATCTGTGGCGCGTCTCACATTACAAGTGTTGGTGAATTGAAAACCACTCCAATTACCCAGGGAAAGTTTCCCTGGGCACGAAGATAAACGCTTAGCCGAGGCTCTAAACTTGGGAGACGCCTTCAATCCTGAAAAAATCTCACTTACTCGCAACTTTGTAGCCTCGAGCAGTGAAGATATCTCCGCTTTAGCGTGTAAATAATTCATTCAACATCAATATTTACAGGGGTGCTGTGTTAAAAGAGAAATAGCCCATAAGTCTGGTTCCGTATTTTGGAATGTCCAAATTTTGCCCGTAATTCAATTATAGCAAGTCGATATTATTAACTAAATAAAATAAAGCACTGACTTGGTATTCATTATTTACTAATGTATCCACTAACCGTACCCATAGTTTGTTTACATAGAGATAATATTCCCAGTACAACCTTCCAATCCAATTTGACTTCCTTTGGGGTGGATTTCAATGCCCTTATTATACGAGATAAGAATCAGGCCAAGTTAGGGAGGGTGTAATGATCGTATAATTGTTTGCTTGCATATTGTTTACTTATTATTTCATCTTAATAGTCTTCACATCTTGTTTTCTTTCAGAGAATGTTTAATTATAGCTTGTCAAGAACACCACGTTGGGCGCCAGTTTAGTTTCCTGACAAGCAATTATCAACTGAGAATCTCGTTAACTGGTCCATTACAACATGTCTTGATGTCGATGTTGATTTAAATCAAGTATTATGTTATTTGAATATCAATATAAATTGCTGTTATTACAGCTGCTAAAATCATACTAATATTATAAATGCGAAAGTTTGGATGTCTGGATGGATGTTTGTTACTCTTTAACGCAAAAACTACTGAACGGATTTGATGAAACTTTACAGTATTATTCTTTATAACCCAGAATAATATACAGGCTATAATTTATGACTATCTGTGACAAACTAAATATCACGCGGGTGAAGCCGCGGGCAAAAGCTAGTAGTTTGATATAAGCAGGTACAATGATATAGAGTTTATTTCAGATTTTGAATGTGAAATAAAAACTTTATTGAAGTAAAGTTAATGAAGTCCGCATTTTCTCTATCTAGACATAAAACAGCAAATGACAAGTCCACTATCTCACCGATACTCCTTAATTAAACTGATACATAATTATAAGGCATTTGCAAACTAAAAGCTAAACTATTTTAAAGAGCTGCGTAACATTACTTACAACAAAAACATGTAATGCACGGCACTAGAAGTTTTACCTCTCCTGCTATTTTTTATAATCAAAGGAAAATGTTCCCCGTCACACTGTAAATACTTCTGCAAACGATCAAAGTTATGTTTAGAAAAAAAAGTAAGCGATACGCACGGCGGCTGAATGAATCCTGCCTGCTAAACTATGCGTGTTGTTGAAAAGTGTTAAACAATATGGTACTGTTTCATACAAATATTTATTCTGTTATTTCCATCGATAGTTCCACGAATCCGAAATCATTTTTAGGGTAAAATCGTGGGATGTGGAAAGCTCGTAAATTTTTGTACATTTAACTTTTGCCATTGTAGGTACGTTAAAACGAAATAAATGGAACCGAAGACCCCGTAACTTTGAAGCCTTTGACAAAAATACACGGGAAAATGTGTTTTACATTTTGTCTATTTGCCTACTTAAAGACGAAACATTAACCTGCCTTTCAAACGATGAATTCGTGCAACTTTACTTATGTTCTTACTTTAGGGCGCTACTTACCTTTGAGACAACCCATTTGAGTCTCTGAAACGGTTGCTTAGAGGGCAATAACATATTTGCATTATACGTACCTTCTCAGAATACGATACAAAGTCGAACAGTCTTGTTCTCGTAATACAGTTTATATTTAATATAGAACTTTTTATAACCCTTAGACATTATAAATTATTTGCTTCTTCTAAAGATCGTATGTAATTACAGTCTTTGCAACGGTAGCTCGAAGCTGTACTAAAAATAAAATCAGTGGTTAACCATTTTATATTTATAACACCTACAGTGTTCTATGATAGTTCATTATTAATACCGAAATACATTGTCTATTTAGACCAGAAGTAGTTTGAACTGAACCAACGAATTATCTAAATGGTAGCATTAGACAAATGCTTCGTTGCCCTTTAGAATTACTAATCGGGACATGTGGTCTAAAGTAGCCAATAACGTTTACACGACCACACTGTATCTGTCCGAGTGTGGGAAGGTCGAATAGAGACAAACTGGACGCTAGACAATAGGCAAAATACAGTCGCTGCACATCACGCTATAAATTTTCATTGGAAAATCGCTCGTATTCCAACTCGATAGAGTGCTGCAGTGTTAAGCTTGACGTGCCGTCTCGTCCGTATCTACATTACACAGCGAGCATGGATCGCTTAACATAATCAATGAAATGCAGCAAACAATCACATCATGTGCTGGACCGTACAACGCGCCCACATTGACCATTGGCCAATAAAACCGCAAACTCTACACTGTTACAAATTACAGACATTTAGGGAACAAAAATGGATCATAAGGATAATGAGTAAAGCCGGACAGAGAATCTAATCGTTACCCATCTTCAACCCATCTTCGGGTTATTCCGTATTCGACCCACATCTTTAAAGTTTTAATAACTTGAAATAATCCAATTATTGCCAAAGGTGGGAATTTATTGACTATTTTCGCTGCCTTAAATTATAAGTTATTAATCATTTATCAATAAAAAAACAGTATGTCCTCAAGCATTTAAAACCTATCGAAGAAAGAAACAGTTAATTGTTTTAAACGTCTCATTTTAAATATTAAACTCATCTAATCTGATTCAATCGTCTTTGACACTCACCACTTACGCCAGTATTTACAAACGATGCTGCTTCACATAAGCAAGCAAGCAAATCGAACGCACAGTGTTGAATAGAGCCCTGTGATTTGTATCACTCCGTGCGTCCATAGTAACCTCATAATAATGTTAACGTTTGTGAATACGGGCGTTAGGTAATTTGTCCTCGAGTTATATTCGCAAAGTCAACCTAACCTTAATACGACTAGAACTAAGTAGTTAGATAAGACATTCATTCCAGTAAAAAACTTAAAGCTGGAGGCTATAATTAAAAATACACTATTAACAGCTAGCCAGGCGCAGCAA